GTATTCATACAACTATATATTTCTTCACTAGAATATACAGTATTTCACACTTGCTTCTTTATTATGCTAAAGTCAGAGATGGTGTACCTAATTCATGCTTCTTCATTATGCTAGAAAATAAATTGGAGATTATAGATTGCTTCCTTATTATGTTTAAGCTAGAGATTTTATTTTAATTTATTGTAGGATCGAGATATTGTTCATTTATCTTGTGCTGTGTGCTCCTCATCCCTACTGTTCTGTAACTGGTGACGCAATGTTAGTGAAATTTCCCCACTGTGGGACCTTAATCTTATTGGCAGTACATTTGAAAAAATTTGCTCAAGGAGGGGTCGAACTCTGCTATTTACACAGCACAAAAATAGACCTGGCTTTTCAACAAAAAAACTATTTGCTAAAGTGCAAGTTGTAAGCCTTTCAAATATATTTCTAATGGCACTTATCTGTTTTTGAAATCAGTCATGATCATAAGAGCTGAATTCTCTCCCACCGGTAATTACATCCTCAACCATAAAAAATGTAATATTGTCCAGCGCTGCCCATATTGTGTGTGGTCTCCGTGGAGTTGGCGGTGTGCGTTAGAAGGCCGACATGTTGTCCTGGCCGGCCCATGTGCATCCCGGGGTCTTCGCTCTATAAAAAGCCGCAGTGACTCACGCACACAGTTCGCCTGGATGCATGCGTAATGTAGGCCACCCCCAGCACATTTATACGCAAGTCACTTCTGTGTCTAAAATGCTGCTAATATTACAAGTACGTGCAAGTCAGTGTAGCAGTGTTTGAAGCATGAATGAGGAGTGAAAGGAGAGATTGGGCATGGAAGGGCGTCGGAGCTGACCCGCGCGGGAATGTGCAAGATTATGTGTTTGGAAACGTGAAACCTCAAGTCCAAAATCTCTAATAATAGTCTGTAGCAACGTCACACTATTCCAATGCATTCAAGTTCATTGTTCTCAATGGAACACGCTGTGCATTCATTCATTCTGGGAGACGCACAACAAAGGACGCACAATTTAGATGCTATGATGACTATTGTGAGAAAATATGATTGGATTGATACCAGAACAAAATAACAAATGTCCATCCATTTTACATCTTCATCTTATATAACATCATGCTCTTGATGATAATGTCGACTTATATAGGCAAGGCAAGGCAAGCTCATTTATAAAGCACAGTTCATATTAGAAGGAAACTCTTAGGGTAAATTCCTTGTGCAACCCTTGTGTCAAAATTACTTGCCACAGATGATAAAGAGTGGAAGAAAAATACTCTAAATTAGGGTCTAAAGTGTCTAAATGATCCAGGGCTGGTCAAGTTGTGAACGGTCATCAAAATTCAGCTTGAATTATTTAGGATATTTTTTAATCACTGTGGCGGTACAAGGGTAGCACAAGGGTTTTAACCAAAAAAGAAAAACAATAGAATCACAAGGCATTAAAATCATAAAATCAAAGTACATTCAAAATCCCTCAGTTGTATGCACAGCTAAACGGACAGTTCCTCACCTGGATTTGAACATAGTCAGAGTAGAAGCCTGTCTCACATTTTCAGGAAGACTGTTTTAGATCTTAGCTGCATACATCTGAACATCTGCCAGTGCCTCCCCATGTTTAGTCCTGACTCTGAGACATATGGCTCTAACATGTCACAGATGTACTTTGGTGCAAAGCCATGGAGAGACGTGTGCACAAGCAGAACATTAATAGCATTTTTTCCCCAGGTTGTTTCATTCTTACAAAAGCTGGTTGTTAATTGATTACTGATCCATCATCAGTCAAAACATGTCCAAATACAACATCAGGAAGGATTAGTTGGAGTCTCCTCAAGAAATTAAGGTTTTGACTGAAAACTAAAGTCCTGGGGGTCAAGACAAGAACAATATAGTTAAATGTCATATTTATGTACAAAAGGCTCCCAGCAAAGTCCCTCTGCTTTCTTCATTCCAATGTGATGGCCCATATAAAGAGTATACCATGATATTTACCGTGTGAGTTGACATTTTCAATAGCCCATAGGACTGCTTTATGAACTAAACGCGTCTGTCTATTAGTGAGCCGCTATATCTGCAGTGACGTAAGAACTGTTCAACCAAATGACATATGGCCAAACTGACGGCTGAAGGCTGTGTGCTTGTCCTGAGGTGTCCCGTTCCATGGGCCGCTCACTGACCCACATGTTTTAGGGGAAACCAGAGCAGCCGCAGGAGCCAGACACAAGGAGAGCATGCAAACCCCACACAGAAAGGCCCCATGCGGTCTGGGAATTCAACACGGAGCCTTACCGGACACAGCTGGCTCGCAATCAGCAAGACATTCTGTGGTTGTGAAGTGTCACGTCCGTGTTGTAAAACGTGTGATGTATCAAAAATGAAAAAGGGAATTACCAAGTACAGTGGGAACATGGTCACTCATGTTGCGAGCCTGATCTGTGCCATGTGCAGGCGCTGCGGAAAGACACCTATGTCTGCAGCTGTGAATGTACAGGTGTCACAATGTCATGGGAATGTTCAAAGATGGAGGAGGAGAGGAAGGAGAATGGAGATACATTTTTCATTCTGTTGGATTTATAGGCAAGACATTTCAGGCACCATGGAATTTCATAACATTTGTAAATGTAGAAATGCAGTAAAACCAACATGTGATCATTAACTCCTATTACCAACGCATTATTAAAGGCAAGACGAGAAAGGACAGTGAGAAATGCCTTTTTTATACATTTTGATTATCTGAATAGTTAGTGGTTAGTAGTTTCATTTTCCAAAATCCCCAGTAGTCATGTTCTCTATTACTTTAGTATAATCAATTTTCTCTGTTAACTTTTTTTCAGAATATCCTTTTCATCCTGGGCCCAGAGAGAAGATATTGTACATATTTGTTTATGGTAAGGAGCACCTGGAGGAGACCTACAGTGCACGGGGAGACCATGCACTGTAGGTAAGAATAGCGCTATCCTGCCTGGGATTCAAACCCTGGACCTTCTTGCTGAGAAGCGAGAAGGAAAATCACTCAGCCACCATGCAATAATAAACAACTTTAACCACGGATTTGACAGAATGTGTTATTCTACATTGTCCATTGCAGAAAATGTATTTGGGAAGTCACATCCTTTTGCATGGGCTTGTTGCCGTGGAAGGAGTTTGATCTAGGGTGAAGAAAACCAAGCAGACAGACAGACAGGTGCCCATTGAGCAATCTTAGCACAGAGGAGAAAGCTAAACACATCACAGAACTCCAAGACCTGCGCAAAAAACATGAAAACGCATTTGAATCTCAACATCAAAATCAGCAGCAAAAACAGGAAAGGCTCGACACGTCTCTTGCTTTTCTATAGTCTGTCCTACGCTGCACTGTTTGTACCGGAATAATGCATTTCACTTCTTCCTACTCAAATGTGCCAGCACTGGGGTGTGGGTGTAGGTAAACAACAGCAGAGCCCTATCCGGGGGAAGCACGGGCGCTGTGGAGAGGCCGACGCCGAGCTCACTTGGCCATGAAAGCATAGCCTACATGTGCACGCCACTGGACTAATATGCACTAGTTCTGAAGCGCGTGAGAGATTGGCAAAACATGAAACCGATGAGCTGCTATTGGCTGGACGTCTGTAAGGTGACCGCGCTCTGAGAAGTGGCGTGATTGTGAGATTGGTTGGGAAAGGAACAGACCAACTTGTGAAATTTAAACTTCGAAATGAAGTGTATTGGACAAACGTTTGCTTTCTACAAAGATCAAATTCTAAATTGAATCATCCACTGCCAATTCTATGCTTTTGGTGATTGTGGACCACCCCTTTATAGGTTTTATATGCTTAAAAATAAAATTATGAATGGATTGTTCATCTGTAAGAAGAAAGAAAACCGCAAAATTGTCAATAGTCTTTACATAATCTGCTCGTTTTTCAAGTGAATTAAAAAAACATGTAAAAAATATGGCCTTATAAGCTAAACAATCATTTAGTTCCGTAATGCCAAAGGATAGCCCTGTTTTTCTTTTAAATCTATAGAATTTTAGCCAATGGGAGATATTTAGGAGGTAATAAAGATGTTATGGATATGAAACTAAAGTGCAATATTTGATGTTATGGCTGTTATGACTAAACATGGACACACAGGAAACATACAGCTGCTAATATGAAGGCTCAATTTTCAATATCACCTCACTGAGACATGTGTGAAAATCCAACAACATACCAATATCACTGACCTATTTCACACTATTTCACATAAGAAGGGACCGCCTGTAAAGACCAAGACGTCCCTTTTGCTCAGGACAGTCCCAGTTGTGAGCCCCATCATGAACACAAAACCACTGATTTGTCCCATGACATCACCAATTTGACAATCGCCAACAATACAATAATGCAATTCTTAAGGCCAAAGCAAGATCAGAAATCAAAAATAATGAAAGAAGCCACTGTACCACTCAGTATACTTAACTACACTGCTTTAACACTTCTTTTGAATGCATGAATGATACAGAAAATGAACTTTTAATGCAACAATCTCCCAAATATTTATCATCTTTGTCACATGTCAAACGTTAAAGGCCTTGAATTTGGCTTCATCTACTGTATATACTATTGCAAGTGTTCAGAAACTATGATAACATTTATGATAATGCATTCTACTTATATACAGTGCTTTCCATGACTTCCAAAGGCGCATTGAACATGGCATTATTATTCATTGCATACACAGTGGTGGTAAACTACTGTTGTAGCCGCAGCTGCCCTGGGACACTTTGACGGAAGCAAGGCTAATCTGTGCCATCGACCACCACCGATCATTCTCACACACAAACACCAGACTCATAATGGAAAATGTGGGTGAAGTGCACTGTACAGCCGGCCCATTGGCCCCTGGTGTTCCCAGAGGTCTCCCAACACAGTGCAAAGCAATCCATGCAATATTACATACAACATTATTCAAACAGTGTGTGCCCCAGCTTTTCTCATAGGAAATTTGGTCACCCTAAAGAAAAAAAATACACCTGCACCCAGGGTCACCCACATGGGCCCAGGTGGTCCCTCTCCCCCCTGTCTCGCCTGGTCTCCCATCCCATCCTTACCTTGCTCTTGATGTTGCAGTGACAGCACACGGTCCACATGTACTTGAGCGTCCGCCACAGCAGTATGATGAAAAGCCCCCCGAAGAACGTCACCATGGACGAGGCGAGGAATGCCCACCACATGCGCTGCCCATTATTGTCGCAGGGCACCTCTGACGAGAACGGAATGACCACGTCTTCCATCTTGGATATTAAGATCGACGAGTCCGGATTGAGAATGTTCTGAGCTCCACTTGTCCTCATAGAGCTGTCGCTTCCATGGGGGACCTTGCCATCCGCCTCGGCTAGCATGGAGGAGCCGTGGAGAGCGTCTGCCAGCGTCCCCAGCCCCACTCACCAGCCATATTGCTATAAAAGAAAATCCCCCCAGTCTTGGCTTTACGTCTGTTTGTCTATGTTTGCGTGCTGAATCTCCTCACCCGCGCGATTCGTGACACTTTCGCGACGTCAAAGGAAGAAAAAAAAAGAAAGGCGACCTCGTCTTCAAAGTGGCGAGGACATACAAAAACGGGCTATTTCACGCCATATTCCTACACTACGACGAACGAACAAGCAGTAATATTTTTTTTTTATTCGACTAAATATATCGATTTGCTGTTGTTACTCGCAGATTCGTCACCTCTAGTTTGTCTGAGCGCGCGCGCGGATCGATCAAAGGAGTGAGTGGCGTGGAGCAGTCGGAGCTGTCAATATAACGTCGCTTTTTACGCGCAGTGGTGTCTCTGGGAGTCTCTGGGAGTCTCGCTGGGTCAGGGGGGGCTTCTGTTGCTTCTGCTGCTGCTGCTGCTGCTGCTGTGGTAGTGGTCGGTCATCGGTGTGATCCCCAGGCAGCCCGCAGCGCCTGGCACGAAGCGGCCAGCTGGGAGAGAGAGAGAGAGGGGAGAGGAGACTGTCACACGCACGCACTGACGGAGAGAGAGAGAGAGAGAGGAGAGAGGCAGGGGGGAGGAGGAGGAAGAGGGGAGATTTACAGGTAGGGGGGAGGAGGGAGCGCTAATAATAAAGATGGGCAGGGGGCCGTGAGAGACAGAGCCATGGGGAGTGGGTATTATTATAATGCGTCTAAATGTGACGCGCGAGGAGAAAGGACAAGGAGGTAATGCCCAAAGTGCTGCAATAATAAGAGATGAAGCCAGGTGCGCACATGAGGAGAGGGCTGAGGGGGGCGCAATATGAAAAGTTTCTGAATTTATGTCAGAGATGGCAAGTCACTCAGTTGAGTTTAAGAGCAATATGTATTATTTATTTTATTTAAATTATAAAATATACACACTACATATGTTCCCAGATAACAGGTCACATGTACAAATCATACATTACCTTTCCTGATGTGACATGAAGTCCATTATATTTATGTTTTCTATTTTCAAGCAGATTATCCACTCAAAGAGCAGGACGAGGCTCTATTTTGGGTTGCCAGTTTGTTAAGTGAAATATAGCCGTAAATTTGCTCAAAACATAATTCACAAAGAAAAATAGAACCACACATATTTAAATGACAGTAGGTTGAAAAATAAGAAGTCATACGTATTTTACAGTTTGTAGCATTTCTAGCTAAACCCCAGTGGGTGGACTGAATCAGTAATCAGTGCTTGGGAGCTATGTGTCACCGGCAGGAAGATTATAGCAACAAAAGTTGGGTTTGTTATTTAATTGACGTTGTTAGACGACTAATTTAAGCACCGCGCATAAAGCTGGGGTACCTAACTTTTTATGTTCGTTCCAACAGAAATAATAAAAACGCAAATACAAGACAATATGAAAAAAGTAGTTTCCAATCATTTACATCTACTTAAATAATGTATTAATCAGTCACTGCTCTATAAACAGACTACAAAAAACAATTGTGTAAATGTCTTGTTTTGACATAAAGACAACTTCAATTCATCTTTAAACAAATAAAATATTACAATGCATTCTCAACAACTAATCGATTAATCAAAGGAATAATCTCTAGAATATGGTTTCAGTACTTCAGTACGACCTGCTGTCTCAACAATATGACAATCAAGTCTTCTCTCCGCATTCACCAGAGTCGAACGCACAATAAACGACTGCAGAAACCCAGATGTTTTCATCGCAGACAAATGAAAAACTTAATCCACTCCACAAACACGACCTGACACTTTGAGTTGTTTATTTGTGTGAGCAACATCATCAGTACAACAGTCAGAATCAGAATCAGAATCAATTTATTGCCATTTGCAGAAAAAACTACATTGGAATACAAACAGGAGACACCGGGGGCACCAACACAACAAAGCACACACACACACAGACAAAAAGAAAAAAAATAGCAAGCGAAGAGCTGTAGAGAAGCAGATCTCAGGGCGCTCTGTTCAGTCTTATAACGGCCTGAGGGAAGAAGCCAGAGGCACGCTTACAACCACACACTTCAAACATTGGAATATGTTTATTTATATGGCACAATTCATCCACAGGGGAACCCAAAGAAAGGGAACAGGCAAACGATAAAGATTAAAATCACATGTGATCACGAAGCATTCATTTTTAAAGTATGTACAGTAAGTTAATAAGTAATGTTTATTTATACCGCGCATTTTACAGACCAAGGTCACTCAAAGCGACCCGGCAACGGATGAAGCAGAAGAAAATGGATGCATGGATGGAGGTCACCCATAGCGCTTTACAATGTTCAGAGTTCAGATATTTTTCTCTCCACACTGTGATGACAGAAGAGATGGTAAAATACATATTATTGTTTGAATAAATACATATTTTATATAAACAAACTTAAAATGTTTCCATAAGATCAGATTCAAGAAAGAAGTGAGGCTCTCTCAAAGGTTACACTGTAAATCATTTTCCAGTAAAATAACAGTAAAGAGCAGGCAGCAGGGTTTCCAGCAGTACATCGTTATTTTACGGTATTCATACAGAAGGTAAAATGACAGTAGTAAATCACAGTATTATGTAAATCACAGTTTACTACAGTAGAAGAAATACTACATGAATACATACAGCAGATAGTATTTGGATAGTACAAAGACACTCTATATAGGCTGTTACTGTCTTCTAATAGTTTACTGCAGATCAACTTCAACTCATTAAAGCAAAAGAAAATAACTTATGATATTCATTATTCAGATTCAGATTCATTTTATTTGCCATTTGCAGTAAAACCACATTGGAATTCATTAGCAAAAGTCCCCAGTGTGCACAAGTACAGGCATAAAACAACATTAAAAGTACAGAAAAAAACCAATCAAATAAAACAGTAAAACAATTGTCACTGCGAAGACCAACGGCTAAGACAGTATCAATACAAAGTGCAAGATCATTAAAGTGCTCTGTTCAAACTGATAACAGCTTGTGGGAAGAAGCTGTGAATACTCTGCAGCGTCGTTCCAGTGTTGCCTCTGTCAAAAATTATCAATCGTAATCATCGTAAACACGCCAAAGGAATGGTTTTACATTTAGTAATGACAGTTTTTCTGGGCTAAACATGTCAATGCCAGACTGTTAGAACTCACCAATCTATATGAAGTGGGTTAGGGTTAGGGTTCTTCAGTAGCATGCCAACATATTGGAGAATCACACCTTTCTTCTTAAATAATACCTTGCCCCTTTTGGCTTTTGTTCCTCCTGAAATCAAAATCATCTCAGATCAGACTGGAGTTACAACAACATCGTTTTTAGATATTCAATTAAATGCAGTGTTTGTTTATTTGTTTTTTTTTTCACTGTTCAAATAGATTGAATGACAAATAGAAGTGGCATGAAATACATAACACAATCTACAACCTAAATGTACAATGTTAATACCATTTCATGCAAGATATAAAAACGTTGATTTAATTGTATATTCAAAGAAGGTATTTTACCCCTGAATGACTTCCAGGGAGCAGCCTCCTGATACTGCAGGTTGAATATGTCGTAGATTGTAAACACTGGAGCAAGTCCAGTTGCAAATGTTGATGAGATTCCCTCACCGAGTTTTCAGGACTCCATGGTGTTCATCCAACCTCTCACTGTGACTTGTCCTGTGGCCCCTGAAACTTCAAATCAGAGCCACAAGGGAATACGCGTTACCTGACATTGAATGGCCACTATAATGAATGATCGGATGAATCTAAATTAAATATACACCTGGCAGTAAAAGATGAGAGTTGTCTCAAAGTCAACTGCAGTGGCAGAAACCTGTCGAGTACAATACATTACATGTTTGGCACTTTCAGCAAAAGAAAAATATTAAAAGGTCAAATGTATTCAAAACGAGTCAAACAGCTTAACAGATGGGGCATGAGAAATTGAAAGCAAATAGTATTTTTACAGATTGTGCAGAACGGTTACACTATAGTACACTTCACCTGTTTTATCATACTGTTTTATTGGTTGGTTGTATTCATGTTTTTAATGATTTTTTTCATAAACAAGAGCTGTTCAGTGCATAGGCTAATGTTAGCAGAATTAAACAAAAAATAGTCTTTGAATCCATTCCTAATTCAAAGCCAAGCCTCACTGATACGGCATATTTAAATCACTAGAAAACTATCTTTTGACCAACAGTTGAATATCAAACATTAATATGAAAAAGAGTTTGATTACAGTTTAATTTGTAGATGCAACATGTTCACGAAGGTGTTCAGCACGTGTCATCTAAAGTCCTCCTGGTACTTCTGAGGTCCACATGGTGGTTCTGAGGTCCACATGGTGGTTCTGAGGTCCACATGGTGGTTCTGAGGTCCACATGGTAGTTCTGAGGTCCACATGGTGGTTCTGATGTGCACATGATGGTTCTGAGGTCCACCTGATGGTTCTGATGTGCACATGATGGTTCTGAGGTCCACATGGTGGTTCTGATGTCCACATGGTGGTTCTGATGTCCACATGGTGGTTCTGATGTGCACATGATGGTTCTGAGGTCCACATGGTGGTTCTGATGTGCACATGATGGTTCTGAGGTCCACATGGTGGTTCTGATGTGCACATGCTGGTTCTGAGGTCCACATGATGTTGATTGCAGATTAGTTCTGTGTTGTATCTATATTTTTGACCAAAAATCATGAGTCTAGCCTCAGCCAGCGAGGTCTGGCTTATGTTTTGTCCGTGCTCCAAAACACCCTCGTCAGTTTGTATGTTTTTCAAATATACTGTAGTGTCCTGTCATACATCGTTATACTGTGAAGGACATCCGTCCTGTTGCTTCTAGTTAAGCAACCCATAATGCATTGCAATCTACAATACTAACCTGTTAAACATGAAAACGGTACTTTAGTGTTGAAAATTGGCTGTAAATTTACAGCAATTGCATCATGTTTCAACTACTCTCAAGATCCAGTCTGTGTCAAGTTAGTGACACACACTGTTTACCTTCAGAAGATGACCAGTACCTGTGGGGCCATCCTGTCCTCTGGAGGACACCTACGCAGACAGGGGAGAACATGCAAACTCCACTCAGAAAAACCCTGTCGTGAGTTGAATCAAACCAATGACCTTCTTGCTGTGAAGCGAGAGTGCTGTAGGTTCTCAAACTCACTATTGCTGGGGGCCGCACAGGGCTGAGTCTGGGTGAAACTGGGCCACATGGAGGCTATGTTTATCACATGTTTGTTTGTGTGAACATTGGAGCAGATGGATCTGTGCAGATATGGACTTAAACCACTGACACAGCTCCCAAAGATTGTTTTGCCCCTCTGCTCTCTCTCTGCTCTCTCTGCTCTCTCTCTGCTCTCTCTGCTCTCTCTCTGCTCTCTCTCTGCTCTCTCTGCTCTCTCTCTTCTCTCTCTGCTCTCTCTGCTCTCTCTCTCTCTGCTCTCTCTCTGCTCTCTCTCTGCTCTCTCTCTGCTCTCTCTGCTCTCCTGCTCTCTCTCTGCTCTCTCTCTGCTCTCTCTCTGCTCTCTCTGCTCTCTCTCTGCTCTCTCTCTGCTCTCTCATGCTCTCTCTCTCTGCTCTCTCTGCTCTCTCTCTCTCTGCTCTCTCTGCTCTCTCTCTGCTCTCTCTCTCTCTCTCTGCTCTCTCTGCTCTCTCTGCTCTCTCTCTGCTCTCTCTCTGCTCTCTCTCTCTCTGCTCTCTCTCTGCTCTCTCTCTGCTCTCTCTGCTCTCTCTGCTCTCTCTGCTCTCTCTGCTCTCTCTCTGCTCTCTCTCTGCTCTCTCTCTGCTCTCTCTCTGCTCTCTCTGCTCTCTCTCTGCTCTCTCTCTGCTCTCTCTCTGCTCTCTCTCTGCTCTCTCTCTGCTCTCTCTCTCTCTGCTCTCTCTCTGCTCTCTCTGCTCTCTCTCTCTCTCTGCTCTCTCTCTCTCTCTGCTCTCTCTCTCTCTCTGCTCTCTCTCTCTCTGCTCTCTCTGCTCTCTCTCTGCTCTCTCTCTCTCTCTCTCTCTCTCTGCTCTCTCTCTCTCTGCTCTCTCTCTGCTCTCTCTCTGCTCTCTCTCTGCTCTCTCTGCTCTCTCTCTGCTCTCTCTCTCTGCTCTCTCTCTCTCTCTCTCTCTCTCTCTCTCTCTCTCTCTCTCTCTTGCTCTCTCTCTGCTCTCTCTGCTCTCTCTCTGCTCTCTCTCTGCTCTCTCTCTCTCTCTCTCTCTGCTCTCTCTGCTCTCTCTGCTCTCTCTCTCTCTCTCTCTCTCTCTCTCTCTCTCTCTCTCTCTCTCTCTCTCTCTCTCTCTCGCTCTCTCTCTGCTCTCTCTGCTCTCTCTCTGCTCTCTCTCTCTCTCTCTCTGCTCTCTCTCTCTCTCTCTCTCTCTCTCTCTCTCTGCTCTCTCTCTGCTCTCTCTCTCTCTGCTCTCTCTCTCTCTCTCTCTCTCTCTCTCTCTCTCTCTCTCTCTCTCTCTCTCTCTCTCTGCTCTCTCTCTGCTCTCTCTCTGCTCTCTCTGCTCTCTCTGCTCTCTCTCTCTCTGCTCTCTCTCTGCTCTCTCTCTGCTCTCTCTCTGCTCTCTCTCTCTGCTCTCTCTCTGCTCTCTCTCTGCTCTCTCTCTGCTCTCTCTCTCTCTCTCTGCTCTCTCTCTGCTCTCTCTGCTCTCTCTCTCCCTTTTCTCTTCTCTCTCTCTGCTCTCTCTGCTCTCTCTGCTCTCTCTCTCTCTGCTCTCTCTTTCTCTCCGTCCTGTGGGGACTGGCCGGTGTGTTTTCATCAGGGCGATTGCTCCGTGTTCAATCACAGCAGCTTTGGGCGCTCTCTATCACAGTAATGGAAAGTCTGATGTTCAGCCATGTGCAAAGCCACCTGTGGTTCTGAGTCCGGACCAGACCAGAGGGAGTCCTTCACCCCAGGACCGAGTCAGGAACGAGCCATACAAACAGTCCTGATAACGCCACCAAACAAACACTTCATCTGAGCGTGTGTGTGCCAAAACCTCGTCCAGAGAGATGGGCTCGAGGGAAATGCAGTTCATCCAAAAGAGTTGAATATTGATTGATTTGTTGACTTTTTGAGGCAAACATTTATTTATTTCAGTGTGATGAAATATTGACTTTATGAAGGATCCTTCAGTGACACTGAGTCCAGGTGTGGCGTGTCTGTATTCTCTACTTTTGAGAATAAAGACATTGTCGAAGGTGCGCACAGAGCAGAAACAATTCGGGCGTTCTGCTCTCCCAAAATTCCATCCGATGGGCGGGGGAGCGACTGAATTTTGCGTTGCATTATGGGTAACACTTGCCTTCGCAACTTCCGGTTCTCTCTGCCCGGCGCATTTTCTCTAAATGGTTGAGTGTTTTCGTCATTTTCTGTATGCAAATACATTCCCGTCTCTAACTAGTGGCATATCGCGCAAATCATCCGTCCAATTCACATTCTTCCCTCTTAGCTGAACTTCATTCTCATTGTTACCATCTGTCACTCGCACACACAGCCGTTTTCGTTCACTCTGCTCGCCGTCATCTTCTTCTAAATCTTCATAAACACCATCCGCTCGTTGAACTAGCAACAACAATTCCTCCTTTCGTTTTCCCACACTGCAAATACCCTTTCGCTTCAACCTTTCACGCAATTCAGGCACTGTCAATCGTTTGTTGTTTTCGTGAGCCATATTCGCCATTGTATGAAATCAACCGGAAGTGAACTGGGCAACAAACGGTGTCATTTTTTGATCACAGCGCCGCTCAGTGGATGAAATTTTGGGAGAGCAGAACGCCCGAATTCTTCCCGTTGCTATAGATACATGTTTCATCCTTGGAGAAATGTCAAAGCAGAGACAGTGTTAGAACAAACAAACACAAGTATTTTTTTATTCAAGTTTTTGGACATGAGGTTGGGCTCTCTGTCGCTCTCTCTGTCGCTCTCTCTGTCGCTCTCTCTGTCGCTCTCTCTGTCGCTCTCTCTGTTGCTCTCTCTCTTTCGCTCTCTCTGTTGCTCTCTCTCGACTCTCTCTCTCTGCTCTCTCTGTCGCTCTCTCTCTTCTCTTTCGCTGCTCTTTCTCAGCTCTCTCTAACTGCTCGCTCTCTACTCTCTCTCTTCTCTCTCTCTGCTCTTTCTTTTCTCTCTCTGCTCTTTCTGCTCTCTCTACTCTCTCTCTCCTCTCTCTCTGCTCTATCGACTCTCTCTCCTCTCTCTGCTCGTGCTCTGCTCGCTCTCTCTGCTTTCTCTCTTCTCTCTCTCTGCTCTTTCTCTTCTCTATCTGCTCTCTCTGCTCTCTCTACTCTCTCTGCTCTATCGACTCTCTCTCCTTTCTCTCTCTGACTCGTATCCCAGTTTACTCTTTTATTGGAGGAAGGGATTCGGAGTGGAGCAGGTGAAGCAGTGGCTGATACTGTCGCTACTGTCACTACTTTGCTAAATACCTAAGTTGAGTTGATCATTACGACAATGTGCAGAAGTCAGTGATGTTTTGCTAATTTGAAGGTTGAAGCTAACATATGTATTGCTGTTGTTTATGTTTTGTTTTCTATAAAGCCATGTGCACGCTGAAAATCAATGGCCGTGTCTTTTTACCAACCATCCCTTCTGTTGTGAATCCGAAGACCCGTCACTGAAGCAGGAGTCAGTTATATATAAGATATATTATGGAGTAACACTTATCAAAGTTACATAGATTGATACAAACCCTTCAAAAGAAGGTCATGCAAACCATAACATGGTCTGATTTCAACGCTAAAATCCTCTCTTCTACAGCTTTAAGCTTCTGGAACTCTGAGAGTAACATATTACATGCTGCATGTGTGATGTGGAATGTTGTGTATTAGCTGAATGATTCCCATCACCTCTGCGACATATACAGTAACTAGAAAAAACTGGCTCGAATACTTTGGAATCACAGGTTTGTCGTTGCTTCACCAACATTGAATGAGTGGGGTGTGTGTGGTCGGTGGTGGTCCGAGGGGCCGATGGCACAGACTGGTTTCATCTCCACAATGCATGAATGATTGTAAGAAATGTTGACAAGGGAAGTGTCTTTAAGTGTCCAAGATTTTTTTTTTTCCCCCATTATATGAAACCATGAACCCCAGAGGCAGGAGCCAGAGGAATTCATAAAGTGTATGGATTTGTATGATCGAATTGTAGAATATTTATAGACAATTACATTTTATGTAATTTCATACATACAGTAATTTCTTATGGACAGAACAGATTCACCAAAGACACGTTTTGTCGATGATTGTACTGCGTTGCATAATGTGATTGACAGGTCGGGGGAGGCTCTGTTGGCATGGCACTCTTCCCATTTCATGGGGAAACACAAATTATATCTAGAAGGCCAGGAGCCTGTGGAATGGAGGGATTCTGGAGACTAGTGCTGTAGATGTTGCCATACCTGCTGAAGTCTCCAACATTGTTCCAGTGGAAGCCTGAACCACCCGAGGCCTTTCTATTCACTGGAACAAAAGTCTTACTGCAATACACAGTTGGATTTGAAAACTTCAATAGCAAGTGTTTCTCAAGCAACCCATGTTAACATTTTACATTCTTTCTGTATTTGTCCGACCAATGCCCATTTCAGGTTTAAGTGCACATACATTAGCATGATAAAAGAGCAGTAGTTGAGTCA